CAGGGAAGACACTGAAGCTTGTCCAGCTTGACCAGGGAGCAGTGGTATCCACCCAGCAGATGGCCATGGCCTCACAGAGCTCAGCCCCCACCACAACAAATGCAGCCTCCCAGACAGACCTCTAGAGAGAACATGCTGCCACCCAGGTGTGTCAGGCTGCCAGGTGTGCACTACTCTTAGGCCAACACAGGATGGCAGGAGTGAGCACAGCTGTGGGAGGTGTGCCCACATTGAAGAACTGCTTCACCTGGTGACAGGGCTTCAGGAGGAGATGGGCAGGCTGAGGAGTATCAGGGAGTCAGAGAAGGCGATCTGGTGTGGTAGAGCTCAGCCATCCATGAGATAGGCTCCTCAGCCAGCTAGTACACATGAAATAAAGGTTCCCCTACCCCCTCACTACCAGGCAGAGGGAGGGGACCTAGGAGACAGGGTGAAGTGGAAGCAGGTTCCCGTTCAGTGCAGCAGGTGAACCTCCCCACTGCCTACCTCACCTTTCCAGGTGCTGCTACAAAACAGGTATGAGGTTCTGAAACTTGATGGGCAAGCAGAAGACAATGTGGACAAAGGTCCATCCCCACTGGGGGCATTGCTGGAGGCAAGTCAGCCTACCCCCCACAACACAACCTCCAACAAGAAGAAGGGTTGTTGTCATCGGGGACTCCCTTCTGAAGGGAACAGAGGGGGGGATATTGATCCCTCCACTTTTCCAGTAGCAGGGATCAATACTGAAAGGAACAGGCAGACCCAGCAGATCAATACATGGCTCTGAGGCTAGCAATGTAATTTTGTGTTTCTTGATTGTGATAAGGTCTACATGACACAAGGCATACTGGCTCCCCATGGAGAGCATCTTTCTCATAAGGGGGAAAAGGATTTTTGCCCAGGAGTTAGCAGGGCTGATCGATAAGGCTTTAAACTAGATTTGAAGGGGGAAAGAGACAAAACAAACAGCCAATGAGAACCGTGTAAATACACCAAAGATGTTCCCTAGCCAACCTGAAACAATGAAAACAATGCATCTGAAAATACATCTCTTTCAGAATAGGAATCTGAGCAAATACTGTGAAAACACAACAATACTTCATGGTCTCTTAAGTTAAAATCCTTTTCTGACTTTTTTTTTCTTGCTTTTAAAATAAAGAGGAGATGAAGTAATGATAACACTTTTTCACCCCTCATCTCCAGTACAAAATAATCTAAAGGTAAGAGAATTTACCCAAGCTATGAGAGACATCAAATCAACAAATCAACTTCTACTGCCACTTCAGAAATTCAGATCCCAAGTTCTCATTTCCATAGGTATATATATGTAGCTTTCAGTAAGCTCCCAGTGTGTGCATGTACCTATGTGGGAATGGAACTTTCCTTCCAAAGTTCTATTCTCGCTGGTGGGTGGGGTGGGGTGGTGACCAGTAGGAATGATTGGGACATAGAGAGAAAAGTAGGGATTTCTACCTAACCTGATGCTTAAGAAATTCATCTGTGGAGGAAATGTCTACATGCTAAACTTTATTGTAGGTCTCTTTGTATATACTGCCAGCTAGGAATCACAGAATTTGATGAAATCCTTCTCACTGGTTATCCTACAGAGTTGTGGTTAACTGTCTCTCCCTTGTTTGTTCTAATTTAGGATTTTTTTTTCTTTATAGTAGAAGAGTCTGAAGAGAAAAGCTGGCAAATTTCATTCTTTGCTTTCCTCACTGCAACTATATTGTAACTGAGTGATAAAGGTGCAGATGAAATTAATGTTGATAACAATATATAATAATCAACATCCATGGAAAAAAAATAATCCCACGTTTACAAACAAAAAACAGGTTCTTTAACAATAAGATGAATGTCACCACTAAAAAGAGGTCACTGAGATTTTGCTATTTCTCTGAATACATCAGCTTCTGTGATTCGTAATGGTTCAGAAAGGGATTTATTTATTGGGATGCAGGGGAGAGAGATGTTATTAGGATATGAATAGAGCACAAAGAGAAACTATTACATGATTGTATAAACACGTGATGCACCCACAACTTCCAGTTCTAACTACGTGTAACCCAAAAAGAAGTGACTGAATGGAAAAAGACTCAGAGAAGGACAACAACAGTGATCAAAGCAGTAACCATTTCTGAGTTAGGAATTGTTGTATAAAAACATATGGGTAGAAAAAGAGAGTAAAAAGGAAATAATGCTTCACTGCAGATGATGCAAATTCATTTTTCAGATGAATGACTCAGAACAAATGAAAGGGGTTGCCTTGCAAGCATGCAATTAATTTATTGACACAGGATGTTGTAAATGCTAAATGCTTACAAGAGTACAAAAATGACAGAATAAACACATTGAAGAAATCCATCAAAAACTATTTAATACAAAGGCATATTATCAGGATCAGGGATTCCTTGAACCTTTAGCTTTTGCAGGCTGGGAGAGCACTCTGAGTAAGCAACACTAAATTATATTTATTCCTGTATGTCTGTCTTGGCCATAGCGGGGGCCAGAAAAATTGGCTTGATGGACACAATATGGCTGTTCTGCTGTTTTCGTGTGAAGGTTTTATTCATTGAAGTGTCCCATTTAAGAGGAAGGAATTATATTTATGTTCGCTACTGGAGGAGGTGAGAAGAAGGAAGCAATTGATTTTAGAAGTTTTCAGTCACACCTGGTTAAGTTAATTTTGTGCTCATATAAGGAGACAAAGGAATAGAAAACAGAAATATGGGATGCAATTTATCTAAATTGCTCATTGAGAGGGTTTTAAACTGGGTAAGAGGGGGGACAGGGCTGAAACAAGTGTTATTGGAGACGTGCCAGGGGAACAATGGCTAGGCCAGAGGAGAAGGCAATGGCCCAACTGAAGTGCATCTACACTAATGTATGCAGCATGGGTAACAAACAGGAAGAGCTGGAAGCCATCGTGCAGCAGGCAAGCTTGGTTGCCATCATGGAAATGTGGTGGGGCCACTCTCATGACTGGAGTCCTGCAATGTCTTGCTATAGGCTCTTCAGAATGGACAGGCAGCATGGAAGAGGTGGTGGTGTGCCTTTCTATATCAGAGAGTGTTTTGATGTCATGGAACTTGAGGCTGGGAATGACAAGGTTGAGTCCATTTGGGATAGGATTGGCAGGTAGGCCAAGGCAAGCATCCTTGTGGGGGTCTGTTATAGACCGCCAAGACGGATGAGGAATTCTACAGGCAGCTGACAGAAGTTGCAAAATCGTCAGCACTTGTTCTCGTGTGGGACTTCAACTTCCCTGACGTATCCTGGAAGCACAACACAGCCTAGAGAAAGCAGTCTAGGAGGTTTCTGAAGAGCGTGGAAGATAACTTCCTGACGCAGCTTATTAGTGAGCCTACCCAAGGAGGTGCCCTGCTAAACATGCTCTTCACAAACAGAGAAGGACTGGTGGGAGATGTGGTGGTCAGGAGCTGTCTTGGGCAGAGTGACCACAAGATGGTAGAGTTCTCTATTCTTGGCAAAGACAGGAGGGGGATCAGTAAAACCACAGTCTTCGACTTCTGGAGGGCATGCTTGGAGCTGTTCAGGACACTGGTTAGCAGAGTCCCTTGGGAGGTGGTTCTGAAGGGCAGAGGAGTCCAGGGAGGCTGGGCACTCTTCAAGAAGGAAATCTTAATGGCTCAGGAGTGGTCTGTCCCCACATGCCTAAAGATGAGCTGGCGCGGAAGAAGACTGGCCTGACTGAACAGAGAGTTGTGGCTTGAGCTTAGGAGAAAAAACAGGGTTTATAATCTTTGGAAAAAAGGGCAGGCCACTGAGGAGGACTATAAGGATGTTGCAAGGCTGTGCAGGGACAAAATTAGAAAGGCCAAAGCTCATCTGGAGCTCAAACTGACTACTTCCGTTAAAGATAACAAAAATGTTTTTATAAATACATCAACACAACTAAGGAGAATCTCCAGCCTTTACTGGATGCGGGGGGAAACTTTGTTACAAAAGATGAGGAAAAGGCGGAGGTGCTTAATGCCTTCTTTGCCTCAGTCTTTAGCAGCAAGAGCAGTTGTTCTCTGGATACCCAGCACCCTGAGCTGGCGGAAGGGGATGGGGAGCAGAATGTAGCCCTCACTATCCACGAAGAAATGGTTGGTGACCTGCTACGGCACTTGGATGTGCGCAAGTCGATGGGGATCCACCCGAGGGTATTGAGAGAACTGGCGGAGGAGCTGGCCAAGCTGCTTTCCATCATTTATCAGCAGTCCTGGCTATCAGGGGATGTCCCAGTTGACTGGCGGTTAGCAAACGTGACGCCCATCTACAAGAAGGGCCAGAGGGTAGACCCAGGGAACTATAGGCCGGTCAATTTGACCTCAGTGCCAGGGAAGCTCATGGAGCAGATTATCTTGAGAGTCATCACATGGCATTTGCAGGGCAACCAGGCATGGATTTATGAAAGGCAGGTCCTGCTTGACGAACCTGATCTCCTTCTATGATAAAGTAACGCACTGGGTAGAGGAGGAAAAACTTCTTTACCGAAAGGGTTGTGAAGCATTGGAATGGGCTGCCCAGGGAAGTGGTTGAGTCGCCATCCCTGGAAGTCTTCAAAAGACGTTTAGATGGGGTGCTTAGTGATATGGTTTAGTGGAGGACAAGTTAGTGTTAGGTCGGAGGTTGAACTAGGTGATCTTGAAGGTCTCTTCCAACCAAGACGACGATTCTGTGATTCTTGCTCTGTATCAGCTGGAAAACGCTCCAAGAGTATGTACTGACACTTTTTAGTGAAGAATTTTTTCTCATACCCACACATTTTTTCTTGCACATAGCGTTCTCATTTGAAGATAACTCTTTAAATAAAAAGACATGGGAAATATGCCAGTAGTTACCCATGGAAATCTGTATTCATTCTTTGTCAAGGATTTCGGGACGAAGGAAAGTGCAAGTTTTACTCTAAAAACATTTACCCATGGAAATATCATTTCTAAGCAAAAGAGTAAAGTTCAGGCTTATTCACTTCTCATCCACTCATGGCCACTCTGCAGAGAATCTTAACAATGGAATCAGTTTGTACAGGCTTGAATGAGCTTTCAGGAAGCTGTTCTTCATATTCTACTTCCTCTCATAGGTACAAGGTGCTTAATGCCAGTGCTATCCCAGAGGGACAATTCATTGATAGCAAGAAGGCTTCTGAGAAGCTCCTCGGATCTATTGATGTGGATCACACCCAATACAAATTTGGTCACACCAAGGTATAAATACTTATTGACTTAAATAGTGTGTATCTGTACTTTGCAGTACCTGACAATTATGTGCTGCGACCATTTCCTTTCTCAAGGTGTTCTTCAAAGCTGGGCTGCTGGGACTGCTGGAGGAGATGAGGGATGAGAAGCTGGCACAGCTCATCACTCGCACACAGGCTAGGTGCAGAGGCTTCCTGATGAGAGTGGAGTTCCAGAAAATGATGGAGAGGAGGTAGATACATACAGTTATTTGGCTTGCTGGGCCAATCCTCCTAACATACCAATGGTGTGAACAAAACTGAAAACGAGCTCCTTCTCAATGAAACTCATTTATTTGTTATTAGTTCATTTCACCACTATGAATGGAGACAAAAAAAAAAAAAAAAAAAAAAAAAAAAAAAAAAAAAAAAGAAAGAAGAAGAAGAAGAAAAGACCTTCTTTAAATTATGTCACTCTTTGTAGTAATTTTTGCTATTTTCTATAAGTGGCTAAATTCTGTAAATGTCCAGAATTCAGATATATAGGCCATGTAAGCTGGTCATGTCCAAAATCTGGACTTCAAAACTGTCCATATAGGTTGGCCATCACTACATCACAATAGGATATTTGCTTCCTATATACATAAAATATAATATATATATATGCCTGTATGTACGTAATTCATTATATAGAGGATTGTCACTATAAAGTATTACATATAGAACAGTCACTACATATTATACATATTTGTATATATAAGTTAATTCTGTAATATACATTCAAAAGTATAAAACATACTTTCTTTACCTTTCAGGGACTCTATATTCTGTATCCAGTACAATATACGTGCATTCATGAATGTTAAACACTGGCCCTGGATGAAGCTGTTCTTCAAGATCAAGCCCTTGCTGAAGAGTGCAGAATCTGAGAAGGAGATGGCAAACATGAAGGAAGAGTTTGAGAAAACCAAGGAAGAGCTTGCAAAGTCCGAGGCAAAGAGAAAGGAGCTGGAGGAGAAAATGGTTTCCCTGCTTCAGGAGAAAAATGATCTACAGCTCCAAGTGCAGGCAGTGAGTGTTGCTAATGCTTTTGGCTCATAATGCCCCATGTAAAATAATCCATATATCTTGGTAACAGACACATTATTACAAACCAGTATTATTTTGAACAACATATAAAGAATAAAATAGGAAGGAAAAACATAGAAAAGCTAAGCTGGAATAAATAAATATTAAGAAATTTTCAAGTCGTTATTGCAGCTTGTTCCATGCACTTTTAAATCAAGAGAGAGCTAATCCATTTCCAGTTAGTAAACCTTACTGCTTATAGTATATTGTTTTAAATCATATATGACAACTTAGAGCAGCAATTATTATGTCTTTATGTAACCTTATTTACTATATAATTTTGATATGTTATCATCTGATGAATGAAGTTAGTCTGGATGTCCAACTGATACCCTGATTTGGGGAATTACAAATGGATTCTATTGGAGTAAGTAAGAGGAGCTGGAGCGGAAGGTATTTCTACAGCATTTCTCATTCCTGCCTCTTCACCAAAAACAGTGATGAAAGTGGGGAAAGCTAATACTTTCTCCATGGAAAGGCAGGGAGAAGAAAGTAGTGAAAATCAACTGCATCTTGATTTTCTCAATTACAGGAAGTTACATGTCAGATAAATATATCTAGGTGAGATAAAACCCAGACTAGCCATCTTGCTGAGCCATAGGAAGCCTTCTGCCTGGATGGCATCTCTGCTCTTTGTTAGAACCATAAGGAAAAGAACATGGAGTACAAAGAAAATAAAGGTTACTTCTCCAAGGACTTCAAAGTTTCCATGTTAGAATGCCGGCAAATTAGGGCAATTTGTACTGGCTAAACACCAGTCTCCTTTCCAAACTGTTCTTCCTGACCACAACGGCTACACATATGTCTGATGCAGTTGATGCCTTTGGAACAGTGATCTTAACACAAAATTTTCCCCAAACTAAAAAATTTGTATTAAAGATGAATTTATGCTAAGTAAATTATTTTGTGAGATTTATAATAAGCATTTCTCAGCAGAATGCTGGAGTGCTTAGCATTTGAGTTTTAAATGCCGGATGATGAGAAATCTGCCTACATGGTACTCTAATGATTTCAGAACTCTATTCCATTCATAGATCCAGTGCAATGTAACACTAATAAAATTTATATATATACATATATATATATCCTTAGCACCTATTACTATACTATACTATTCATATTTCATCTTTTATTTTTATATACTATTCATCTTTTATTACTATACTATTACATAGCACCTGTCTTCAGGGCTGGAGGCATTCCAAAATAAATGGTATAAAAAATAATAAATCAAAAAATAAAATAAATAAACTCTTATGATAAGGAGTTCTAACTTGAAACATCATTATGAAACCGCTTTGAAAATAAAAATACCTTCCTTTAAAAAAAAAAAGGAGAAAAAATAATGGCTGACATACAAACAGAATTTTGAAAAATATTATACACATTTATATATATAATTCTGTAATATACATTCAAAAGTATAAAACATACTTTCTTTACCTTTCAGGGACTCTATATTCTGTATCCAGTACAATGTACAAATCATCTTCATAGCCCTCCTCTGAGCTCATTCTGATACTTCTATGTCCCTCTGGTACTGGGTAGCCCTGAACTGGGCACAGTACTCCACGTCTGGCCTCACCAGGGCTGAGCAGAGGGGGAAGATCACCTCCCTTAACCTGCTGGCAACACTCTTCCAAATGCACCCCAGGGTACCATTGGCCTTCTTGGCCACAAGGGCACATTGCTGACTCGTGGTCAGCCTGCTGGTCCCTCTCTGCAGAGCTGCTCTCCAGCAGGTCATTCCCAGTCGGTACTGGTGCTTGGGGTTATTGATCCCTAGGTGCAGGACCCTGTACTTGCTCTTGTTGAACTTCATGAGGTTCCTCTAGGCCCAACTCTCCAGATCCCTCTGAATGGTGCACAGCCCCCTGGGGTATCAGCCACTCCTCTGGGCTTTGGGTTGTCAGCAAACTTGCTGAGGGTGCACTCTGTTCCATTGTCCATGTTGTTGATGAATAAGTTGGCGAACACTGGACACAGTACTGACCCTTGGGGGACACTGCTAGCTACAGACCTCCAACTAGACTTTGCACTACTAAGCACAACCCTCTGAATGGTCCTACAGGCCAGGACTTCAAATCCTTCTTGTGATCTATAAACTGACAGTTGCCTTATCCAAGCTTTATGTTAACCTTAGACTTGTCAGCACCCTGTAGAATGATATAAGCAAACATAATGAGGGAAAAAATCAGTCTCACTAGGTCTTTCTCCTTCTCTATCAGTATGTGCAGATAGACAGATGGGATCCATTAAAAACATGGGTTGTAAAGAAATAATTGGGCACAATTAGGAAAAAAAAAAGTCTTTTTAAAGCTCCTGAAATCAAGAGCCAAGGGTTGCCTTATTTGGCATTATTAGAGTTGTCTTTGGGTCCCTCAATCTTCTATCATGGCACAGCGGAGCATGAAAGAAAAAAAAAAAAAAAGGTCAGTGCAGCTGACTCCATACAACCTTGAATCAATCCTGTCTCTAAGTAATTAGGAGACAGATCACAGCTTCAACACATTTGCAACTAAAGAGCAAATTATTATTGACCAAAAATAGAGCACTTGAATGCTGTGTGGGCAGAAGGTTACTTATAAAGAGCTACAGCTGAAAGCAATCTTATTCTTTGTTACTTCAGCATCTCACGGTAAGTCCAATTTGCTTGATTCAACATCTAGGGGCATGTTCTTCTCAATCCACACTTCTAACATTCTTGTTTGTGTTTTGCACGCGATGCTAAGGTTAAATGACCCAACCCAGTTCAGTGTAGTAGCAGAAGTAGTAGAGCCGTACTGTAGGGCCCTCTACAAATTTTGCTCCCTTCAAGCCCTATGAAAGGCACAGAGAACTAACTCTGAAAGCAACTGAAATTTATTGGGTTAATAATGTAGCACATCCTTTCCTGGATGACATATATTTTTTTTCCAGCAGATCACAGCAATGTGGGGAGGAACACAAGATTTTCTGTGGGATTTGACTCTAGTTTAAGAGTTGTAAGGCTCTGTGTACAGTTCATCTACTAGGAAAGACTACTCAAAGAATGTGTGCATGTTTAATAGAGCATATGCTCAAGGCATATGTAGTGAGAGCTAACCAAGGCAATGAATTCTTCTTGATTTAACTCTCTCTGTCCTTTCTTTAACCGTTCCCCACAGATACTGAAAGCAGATTTCCTCCTGGGCTCTCTGAAGGTAAGGGTTTAACAAATAAGGTTGTTCTGTTGTTTGATCCTGAGCCCGTAAGTGTAGCTCACCTAGACAATGGTAGGGGGAGGTGGCAAAGGATTATGTTGTAGAACTCGGTTAACTGCAAAGGATATGTTTTAATCAGTAGGAGCACATCCATAGATCTTGGTAGGAAATACTCTAGTTATGGGGAAAGAAAAGTTACTGATACTCAAGCTTAGCCAAGAAGGCACGAATCACAGAGATGGTAATGTCTTTTTTGTCATGTAAACCGGTATTCTGGGACTTGTAGACAATTACAATTCATCCCCTACCATCTGTACAACTGCTGGAAATCTGAAACTGAGGGCTGTGCTCAGAGAGGATGCTCACAGTACGATTTAGGAAGGGTTCGACTTTATCCTGCCTTTAGTTTCCTCTGGGGTAAGGTCTCAAGCATTGTATGCTGGCTTATCCATGAGGTCCTGAATACAGAACAAAGTTCAATATGGTCTTGTCTCCTATCTGATAGACAGAACTGTTCATGAATAAAGAGACACCTTCATAAAGAACTTATATATGAATGATTCTCTTCTAAGTTTTCTAGGGAAGGTTAGTGACTGGAAGAGCTCACAAGAGTAACAAAAGGAGCCATCCACACCTGTGGATACCTAATACCACAAAAGGTTCACTGATAGTGTTGAGGTGCTGAAATGGGTAGAAATGCAAACTGTCCATTCAGAGAATGCCTTTCTGTCTTTTCATGAAGGCATAAATCAAAGATGATTCAGTAGTATAACAGACCATGCCTCTCAAGAAAGTTTTGAACAACCTATCAGCATTTTCTGATGCTCTACTTAGCCTTTTCATGGCTACAGTGAGATAGTTTCTCTCTTTCTTTCATGTTGCTTCACTTGAGCCATTCAGAAGAAGGATCGTATAGGTTTAAAAAAAAAAAAAAAAGTTGGGCTCTATATACACAGAATAATAATTTCAAAGTATGTTAATGGTTCTAGATTTTGTGCTTTGAAGTTCATGGCTGTTAAAGTCTCTTGAGAGATGCAGCCTCTCAAAGTCCTGCAAGGTACAGATTCTATTGCAGATAGGTTTTGTTGAGAGTTCAGCACTTCTACATCAATGTGTCCAAAATCAAAACATTGCAAATGCATTCTAATTGTTTTCATTTACTTCTTGGCACCACATAAAAACACTCTGTGTTGATTACTTCAGTACCTTACTTTAATGCTAGCTTGCAGAACTTTCTGTTTGTTAGTTGCTGCCTACATTATTTCTACCTGTGTTGTTTCCAGATAGTCTTGAATTATCCACATCAGTCCTTTCAACTGTAGCAACCAATAACATCTATTTGTATTAAAGAATTTTTACTAGATGTTGCTGAAAATGTAAAATAAAACTGAACACAAAAACCTTTCTATGAAATTTTTCTACTAGAAGAATCCCTAACTGAATGTCTGGTATGTATTGGTACTTACAAACCGTCTTTTAATGATTTGTCACTGATGTCACCCTACATAATATAATCAAGCTAAAAGGTACTTCGACACTGATGTTTTTTGAAAGGTAATATCAAGTACTTACGTATCTGGGTAACACTATGCTTTGAATTATTTCCTTTACTACATGTTATATTCCTTTATTGCTAATTTTGTCAGTGGTATGTAAATACATTTTATATTTCATAGGTAGGATAAATGGGTTTAGCTATAGATGGATGATGATTGTTGCTTACAATTAGTTTCTGTGCTTGATACAGAAAGAAACTATTTGCACTTGCCCTGTTTGTCATTAAAACATAGAAAACAGAAATGCATGAAGAACGCCTCCACTTACAAATTATGTATGAGAACAAATCTTAACTCACTAATCTGTGAGAGTCTTGAAGACTCCTGTCTACAAGAAACTTTCTTTATTAAAATTTCTTCAGTGAATACATAAAATTGACATGGAGGACAGGTGCCTGAGGTTGATTAGTCCTCTTCTTCATTTTAGTCATTGAGTATGATCAATGGATATGATCTGGATAAATATAAATAACAAATGCACAAGATATCTGAAACTCTTCTAAATTCCCCCAGAATAACTCCAGTCATGACATCAGATGCAGAGATGGCAATCTTTGGAGAAGCTGCTCCCTATTTACGGAAATCTGAGAAGGAGCGAATTGAAGACCAGAATCGCCCATTTGATGCTAAGACAGCCTGTTTTGTAGTGGATGAAAAGCAAATGTATGTGAAAGGTACCATACAGAGTAGAGAAGGTGGTAAAGTCACAGTTAAAACATGTGATGATATAGTAAGTGCCATTAACCGTTACTCGTCATACATAACTCATCCAGTTCTAAAAGTTCCCTGGCTAATATTTCTTCTCCTTTTGTTTCTCTCTGGTTTTGTCAGACTGTAACAGTAAAGGATGATGAAGTCTTTCCCATGAACCCTCCCAAATTTGATAAAATTGAGGACATGGCTATGATGACCCACCTCCACGAACCTGCAGTGCTGTATAACCTCAAAGAGCGTTATGCAGTCTGGATGATCTATGTAAGTACAAGCAGAAGGAGATTTGTGCTTTTGAGGGGTTGAAGACACTTTTCAATCTCTCTGAAGATATTCCTGACTTTTCACCTCCTTTCCTCATTTCTGTTTTTTTTTCTCTCTTGCATGTGTTCTCCGTTTGTACTCTATGTATCATTGCTCTTCTTCCTTCT